GGGAAAGTGGTTACACGCGGTCACGTTTTGGACAGGAAGGCACAGGCGTGCCGTGGCACTCATAGGTCCTGCCGTCCGGCCTACAGGAGTCTGTGCGGGCGCTCTTCAACCCACCTCGGGCACACGAGCGGCCACGGGGTCTCAGGACCATCCTCGGAGGACAGCCTGGCTCTGAGCACCGGGCACATGGTGGGGGGGTTGTGGGGCTGTGCTCCAGGGCTCCCCGTGGCTGGAAAAGCCACCGACTCTCCTGCCCTAAGCTGGGAGGGAGGGACCGGAGCAGATTCCAGTTTACAAGTTCGCTCTCGATGGCACCTTGATGCTGCAGTGCCTGAACTCAGCCGTGGGGTTGCGTGCCTCCCCGAGGAAGGCTGAGCCTACGGCGTATCACAGACCTCGGATGTGTCAGGACATTTGGCAGACAAGCTCAGCACAGTGCCGATGGGCACCACGAGGGGAGGGCACTGCTCAGAGGGCTGCCTACATGTTGGACACAGGCCGTGGGACGCAGGCTGTGGGACGCAGGCTGGCTGCCACAGCCCCAGGCCAGGCCCTCATCTCGCTGCTTCTCGGCCTGACAGCCATTAAAGACAGCGCCCCCTGTGTCCTCGCTCCTGGCCGTGAGACCTGGCGGTTCTGTCATCTGCAGCAAGTCACAGCATCGCGTTTGGGAAAGCGAGAACCCTTTTACAATGGGCGTCTGGAAATCTCCAAGTATGTTTAAAGTATCCCGTTCCTAGTCTGGACAGGAGGAGGGGGTGCTCTGACGGCTTTGGACACGAAAGCCACAGTCGCCCACACCTCGGGTTCGAGCGTCTGAGAACACAGATGTTAGACGTCTCCCGGGTGAACGTCGGTGGCTGTTGCGTGGCACCAATATTAAATGGTCCAGCGCAGCTGGTACCGGGACACAAATGCGTCACTCTGCCACCTTCGGCTACTCACGGCGCACTTAGGCCACACAGAAGGGGGAGAGGCTGCGGGTGACAAGCGGGCGCCCACGTGGCCAGCCAGGGTTCGGTCCCACCCTGGGGCACGAGCAGCCTACATAGGGTCCTGACAGGATGGAGAACTGGGAAAAAGGGTGGCCCGGATGGGTCCGGCGTTCCTGCGCATCACACACAAGACCTCTGGGCACGGAGACCCTAAGAGCCGTCCTGTGGGCAGAGGAATGAGCCCTAAACCGACCCACTCGGTCAGACACATCCGTTCTCGAGACGTGGAGACCAGGTGGCTCCCAAGTAGCAGGAGCTCCCGGACCGCGTGCGTGGGAACGGGGAAGGTTCTGGGGAGTGCCCGCTCTCCTCTGGCACACGGGGCATGGGGACACGCTGAGGGACCAGCCGTCTGCATGGTCACCTCCCTGCCTCTGGGAGAGGAGCCCAGGCCTCCATTGCGGTCCCTGCTCACTTCAGGGCTGGCCCGCCGAGCCTGGCCCTGCCTCGTGCAGGTTTGCACTGGCGCCCGGAGTGGGTCTGGGATGTCGTCACTGGGAACAGCTAAGCAGGAAGCAGGTGCCCCAGCCAGGGCGGTCTGGGCAGTTCCATTTGCTGGCAGCCCGTTGTGACCTGCGAAGGCGACCATGGCCAGGTCCTGAAGTGGAACAGCGGCTGGGAGCAGTTCTCAGGGTCTGCTGCAGGGCGAGGGCCGACACTGCCCTTCCCGTGACTACAGGGTGGGCCGTGCCAGGCCGCGGAGAGGAGCCGCTCGCCCTCAGCCCGAAGGGCCCCTCAGGGTGTCTACACCTGTCCGGAGGACCCACCTTCCCGGAGCGTAGCCCTGAGCCAGGCCTCGAGGCAGAGGTGACCCGGTAGTGACCAAAAGCAGGTGACCACAGTATGAGGGACGGCCCCAGACCAGGTCCTTGAACTCGCTGGTGACACGCCAACATGAGACGGTGTGGGGACACCTCTGAGGGACACCGCACCCTACCCTGCTGAGGGCCAGGCAGCTTGGGCAGGAACACCTTGTGGGAGTTTCATTTATCCATGACAGTGTGGATGTGTACCACAGTCAGGAGGGACGCGGGGCTCGCTCGCCCAGCTGACAGGAGGGGCCGGCACGTGGACAGACTCCATGAGGTTCACCGGGAAGCCTGGATGTGGCCCCGCGGGGCAGAGGCCGGGGCCCGGGCTGGGCTCATGTCCAGGCTTCCCCATGCACGCGGGGTGGGGTCACAGCACCAGAAATAAAGACAGGCGAGGCCGTCCCCGACGCCTCGTAGGGCCTCTCCTTACGTCACTCCATGTCCGCCCTCGCGGGCACTCACCTCACCACGGGGTCGCTGAGGTCACTGTACACGTTGATGCGGCCGACAAACCTGCGGGGGGAAGCCGGTTACCGCCAGGCGCCCGCAAGCCCTCCGTCTCCCACCAGGTGGCACGGGCGCGGCTGCTCACTCACTTCCCATCCTGCTTTGTTCTGCCCCCCGCGATTTTCCTCGACCCACAGTTCAGGAATTACGGCCTCAAGGCAGAGAGCGCTTGGCCCTTCCCGGCGAGGCGAGCCCACGTCAGACACTGGAGAGTCACCCCCTTGTCCCGGGGCTGTGCACTGCCCGGCCGCGACTCAGTTCTCTCCACTCCCCGGGCTGCCAGCGGCACGAACGGGAGCCCCAGCCCGAGCCCGGCAGAGCGCCCGTGGGCCACTGCTCACTTGTAGAGGTCTGGCTGCGGCTGCTCACACTCGATTGTGGCGTGGAGCCGATCCACGTCCTCCTCCGTGTGGAAGCCCTTGGTGTCCTGGACCGCGTAGTGGGTCTGCAAGTGACAAGAAGCGACGCTCGCAACCGGCAGTCACAGCCCGGCGTTGTGCTCCCCCCGCGGTCCCCCTGCCCCTGCCACGTGCGAACCGGCCCAGTCGTGGGGTCTGCTGCCCTCGAGAGCACACAGTGCAGTGTACCAGCGTCGAAGAGGCCGGGCGGCAGGGACCGCCGTCGCCCTGAAACCACTGGGTGCCAGGAAGCCCTGCCCTTCCATGCCACTGCAGGGCCTGCACCCGATGCCACCGGGACCATGAGCAGCCAACGCGGTTCCTCCACGGGATGCTTACAGCGTGCGCTGCAGCACACCTGCGTCAGAAATGCCTTCCCTTCCCTTTCCATGAGGCCCCGCTGCCACAGAGCTGCCCACGCCGTCTGCATCCCAGCACCCCTGGGGCTTGTAAGCCCAATGCCTGCCCCACCCCCAGGGATTCTGGCACAGAAGTCTGGGTGCCGAGAGCTGCCGGCCCAGACCTCATCTGTGAGCACAGACAGGTGGCCAGACTGCACCTGCTCCGTGGTGCCGATGTGACATCACTGGCAATGCTGACTGCACACCTGGGCTCTAGGCAGTGCCTGACACACTTGCACGAGAGCCAGAAAGCAGTTTGGTCCGCTCTACAGACATCCGAACTCCAGACGGGTGAGGTCCACACGTGGTCAGTCACGTGGGCAGTGCAGGGCGCCACAGGTGGGGCAGGGGCCCTTCCCTTAAGGAAGGTGCAAGTACCTCCAGCTCTTAAGCCAAACCACAAGCACGATGCCATCGGAGAACATCCTAGAATGACGCAGAGTGCCAGGGCAGCTCGCACAGTGTGTTCTGTGAAGGGATGCTCTGCAGACCTGCACCGCAGACCCAAGCACGTCTGAGCCCCGGGACGGGCTTTGGGGCCTGGCTGTTGTCGACACGGCCAACGGCTCACGAGGTCTCAGGGGTTGGAACCTGACCTCCCCCAGCACAGGCCAGGCACGGATTCTAACACCTGACCATGCAGGGCTCCCATTGCCCTCTGGTGGGTCGGGGCAGAGCGCTGCTTCTCCTGGGACACACCGTGGGAACCAAGAGCGAGGGTGGGAGAGTGAGCCTAGCGCCTCCCGCACCCGGACTGCAAGTAGCCACGCCTGAGTGGCCTGCCTTTGGGGACTGTGCGCGGACTACATCATGTCCCACAGGAGAGTGTGCCCCATACTGCAGCAGAGAGTGCATCCCATTCCATGGGGGAAAGTGTGTCACAGTCTGGGGGAGAGAGCGTGACATCCCACGGGAGAGAGCGTGGCACGTCCCACGGGAGAGAGCACGGAACATCCCACAAGAGAGAGCGTGTCATATCCAGCAGGAGAGCGCGTGGCACGTCGTGTCATGTCTCGTGGGAGAGAGCGTGGCACATCCCATGGAGTGAACACAGCACGTCCCGCTGGAGAGCGCATGGCACGTCCCACGGGAGAGAGCGTGGCACGCCTGTCAACATGGGCGCTATGGCACTGAGACTCGGAGGGGACACGCTGAGCCGAGACTCTCCGGTGCGCACAGTCCCAGTCTTCAAGTCAACAGGGCATGCTTCCTTCCAGACTGCGTCAATTTCTGTAGCTCAGCTATGGAGTCCTACACTGAGTGCGAGCGAGTAATTCGTTCAAAAATCCCTTCCGAGATGTTTGAGCAAGGAGACACTCACTAGGGCCAGCAGGTGGCCTGGTGGACACGGTGCTGGATTCCCACAAGGCCGACCACGGTTTGAATCCCAGATGTGGCTGCTTAAAGATAATGCCGGGCACACGTGTGTGCATCGCCACAATCTCGAGAGCGGAGACGGGACTGCGGCGTGGCCATCCTTCCTGCAGGACTTCTCACTCCCCCGGCTCTCTCTCTGTCTCCAGTGAACACCCATACCCTTTGGCAAAAACCTAAGAAAAGCCCACTCACTGAGGTGACCCCAGGCAAAACCTAGACCTCGGTGTGACGTCACAGAGCCCCAGGCTCACAGAGACTCAGATTTTGATTAGGAAAACAAAACTGGTAAACGGCAATGATCTTTCATCAGACCCGTAACTTGGCATGTCGGCCTGATGACACGCATGGGCACTTAAGTTGCAGTCACATGCCACATGACAACGGGCCACGTGCCTGTGGCAGCCCCACCAGCTCCCAGCAGGCCACCCCAGAGCCTGGAGTGCAGGGAGCCGCCCGCCTAGCATCCCGTAGCACATGCATGTGACGGAGCCACCGGCCCTGCCCGTCTCAGCATGCACCTTCACTGGGGACGAGGGCTGGGCTCCTTGTCTCCCCGTGTGGCCATTACAGACACTGGGGGCAGGGAGGAAAGTGGACGGTGAGGAGTGGAGGTGAGAATAAGCTCAGCCGCATGACACCCTGGAGTGCAGGGAGCCGCCCGCCTAGCATCCCGTAGCACATGCATGTGACGGAGCCACCGGCCCTGCCCGTCTCAGCATGCACCTTCACTGGGGACGAGGGCTGGGCTCCTTGTCTCCCCGTGTGGCATTACAGACACTGGGGGCAGGGAGGGAAGTGGACGGTGGGGAGTGGAGGTGAGAATAAGCTCAGCCGCACGACACCCTGGGTTTCCAGGCGGATATCTGTGTCCAGAGCCACCCTGCGCAGTCTGAGGACGAAGGTGAGAAGCCACCAAGTGCCACCAGACTCTCGACCAATGGCCTTACTTTGTGGCTCGACTCCCCGTCGAGGCTGGCGGTTGTCACGTGGCATGTCCCGTCTGGCCGGTTGCTGGACAGGAAGATCAGATCACAGGGGAAGGTCTCGTCCTCCTTGACCATGACGATGTCCCCCACCTGCAGGATGAAGCCGAGGATGAGGCGCTGAGCCCGCGAGGACGGCTTCCCGTGAGGCTGCCGTTCTCCGCTTTCTCACTCGGATAGAGTGGGCTCTGTCTACAGGGAGGGGTGCGGGTGCTCGCAATTCTGGAATGGGCCCTGCCGCAGGCACGCAGCTTAGGTGCCAGGAACCCACTGCGATCGGAGGGCGAGTAAGCCCACTGCAGCTGATGCTGGTGAGGGCACAGAGCGCCAGGCCCGCCCGGAGTACCACCACCTGGGGAGTTCCCGCTAGAAGGCGTGGCCCTACCAACAGGTGTCCACAAGTGCTGTGCTCTGAGTGCACTGGACACAGTGCCAGGCTGCCGCACGGCCCCCAGCAGGGGAAAAGCCGGAATGCACTGCACCTGTCCCGGGCTTCCAAAAGCTCAGCGTCTGTAAGGGCCGACAGGGTCCCTGGCGGGTGGGGAGGACACTCTGGGCTCACAGTTGAGCATGCAGGACGCACCGGCAGCTACTCAGCCACCCAATCCCTGCGGGGAGGCTGCACTTTCCCTGTGAACCGTGTCCCAATCAAAGGGGTGCCTGGAGCGGACGCAGCCCCAATGGGCAGTGCAGGCTCGAAGGGCGGCACCGGGGCCTGTACCCGGCCCACCCCGGCCTGCCCCAGCCGAGCTGCAGGACGAAGCCCTGAGGGCTTGCCCCGCAGTCCTGAGGTGGGGGACGCGTGAGGCCCTCCTGGGCCATCAAGGGCACAGTCACGGCCCACAGGGAACTGCCCAGCGGCTCCTCTCCCCAGGGACCTGGGCTGGATGACATTCCTAGCAGAAGCTCAGCAAGGACTTTTTAGACACGAATGAGCCCACTCGAGACCCCAGGCACAGACCCTCCGCGCCCAAACCGAGTTGGAAGGGGCCAGGGGTGTGAGGGAGGTCGCCACGGTTAGGGCTCCCCGGGCATCACCCCCCCACTGCTGCCCGTCAGGTGACATGCTGACCGCAGCGAGGGTGGAGGGGGCGAGCAGCAGAGCAGGTGGGAGCCATCACTGCCCGGCAGGTGTAACCGGCTTGGCAGGGAGCCAGGGAGCGGTGAACTTTCCCTCAAATGACTCAAGGCAAGAAGGGGCGTCTCCCCGACAGCACGCCCCCGGCCAGAAGCCCAGCCAGCGAGTCGCAGACCCACGGGTAGACAGAAACCTGCGAACTCAGGGGAGGGCAGGAGAAGGTCCTGGGCTGCAGGGCTGAGACCGTTTAATCGTGACATTGAGAGCAAAATCCCCGAAAGAGAAACCAAGAAACTGAACTTCGTGCACACTGAGGCGCTGCTCTGCGGGTCCCTGAGCCCTCACAGCGCACGGCTAGCCCATCCGCAGCGGGGCACACACGCTCAGGGCGCAACAGAACCGAGTGTGCCCGAAACGGAGTGGGCGCGAAGACTGCTTCTGGAAGGGTCACAGTTGGCAGGCGGGCCTGGGGAGGGAGTTCCGCACCATGGCCACAGGGGGCAGTGTGAGGG